GTCGAAGGCCTTCCGAAAGTCCAGGAAAACTATATCCACTGCTACCCCTGCATCTAAGGATTTGGTGACCTGGTCATAGAAGGCCAGCAGGTTGGTTTGACAGGACCTGCCTCTAATGAACCCATGTTGGTTGCCCCTAAGCATAATCTCCCCTGCTGGCCCCTTGTGGACATGTGCCACAATAATTCTCTCAAAAAGCTTGCCCAGGATTGAGGTAAGACTAACTGGCCTATAGTTCCCTGGGTCCTGCTTCCTCCCATTTTGAAGATGGGAACCACATTGGCCCTCTTCCAGTCCTCTGGCACCACACCAGAGCACCACGAGTGCTCGTAAAGCTGTGCCAAGGGTCCTGCAATGTCCACAGCTAATTCCCTCAGTACTCAAGGGTGGAGATCATCCGGACCAGCTGATCTGAATACATCCAGTCCCTCCAGAAGTTCCCTAACTAGTTCCTCACTAACCCTTGGCCTAGGTGCGCCTCCCCTGGGGTCTAACATACTGTACTCTAATATAATCATATATAACCCTTTGCCAAGGTTACATTAACATTTCTACTTTAAAGCTTTATTTTCAGAGGTATGCAGCTTGGTTCTTTCTGAAAGCTTGAAAGTTTTGCATGGTTTGCATTATAAACCACATTCACCTTCATCTAATAGATCTCTGCCCTTGCTTGCAGAAGGTATTTTTTTAATCTCCAGAGTAGTGCATCAACAATACAGGAAATGCAGCTGGCGATACATTCCCACTCACATCACAGGTTTGCTCTTAAAATGCTGGACAACTGAAAAGAATATGGAAAACCCTTACCTGGTGGCAAACATTGCTCTCAAGGATGAGAAGGTTGCTGCATCTTCTTTCAAAGCCTTTAACTCGTTTCGAAGTTTGGTCATTGTTTCAGTCACCATTGCTTTTTCATTCTCATATTTGTTCTTCAAATTGGCTAATGCCACTTCAGCGGTCTGAAACAAAGACAGACATTCATGCCTATGAGATGGGAATTTAACAACTGCCAGGTTACAAATCCACTTTTAATTTCCTTCATTCACAGGGTAAAAAATTGTTCAATTTCAGCTTAAACACATACTAAAAAAAATCTAAAAAGCTTTGTTCTATAGAGCCCAGAAAGCCATGTAGCCAAGTAGAGAAAATCAACTTAAAAATAGTGGATTCCACAGTTGTGTAAACTTTAGTACTCTCTACCAATCTGCATACTTAATATTTTTTCATAATTTTAATGGGAAATCATAATGCAAATTTAGTGTAAGTTATAATATTCTCTTAAGAAATCAAAAGTTATGAACATAACCTAGCCCTCTGTTCTCTCCCTATTTCTTCTTCCCCTGCTCAATTCCTCATTCTAGGCCCTACCTAACTTAATATTATATTACATATCAGTCTTATTATTTGAAAAAGACAAATTCCTCCATGTAGTTTGTTACTTTTATTTCAATTTTTTTTCATATTACATCAATAGAAATAAAAACCATGTTTTTGTATGATAGTTTAACTAGGAGTGTAATTCATATAATTTGGAATTACTGTAGCTGAAAGAAATAAGAATTTTTGCCTGTGTGTTTTTCCAGTGTCTTTATTTTGATACTTCCCCTATAGACAGTTACTTTCCCTTCGTTAGGGAACAATGTAGCATTTTAAGTGCTTAAAAAGCGGAGCATTTCCACCAGGGACAGACTTACTGCCCTGTTTCATATACCTCTGCCGAAGCATTTCAAAGTCAATACAGCTGCATGCAGCATCCTCCTCTTCAGCCAGGGGCATGCCAGGAAAGCTATGATGATCTGTAGCTCCACTCCCCCAGTGTCACCATGGGCACAGGGGAACTAACTAAACTCTCAGTACAGCTCTGCAGCTCCTGGTCTCCCAGGGGCTGCAGTTGCAGGGAGTGAAACTAATGCTGGTGAGTAGTCTCCTGCGTACTCCACCTCCAATCTCTCAGAGCACTCTCCTGCTGGGACTGGGAGACTGGAGGCCCTGCATCCCCTGGTGGAACTAGGAGACCAGATACAGAGAGGCATGTGGGGACTGGAGGGCAGGAACCCCAGTTTTGATGGAGGGACACAGGGTCTCTAGTGTCCCAGTTTCAGGATCCAGCAGTCAGGGGTGCTCCAGGAGCGAAGAAATGGAAGAGACAAAAGAGTGCTCAACAGCATAACACCCTGTTCTCCCTTTCCTCTTCCTCTACAGGGGCAGAGAAAAAGGAGAGCACTGTGGGATGTCGGGGGACCCAGGAGTCCCTTGTCATGCTACACAGGGTATGCATATGTAACAGAGAGTACTTCCTCATGAAACTCTTCTAAATAGCACTTGTTACTTTCAGGGTTACATTTACAGCACTTCAAAGGGCATGTCAGTCTGTACTGCTCACTCTTGAAAGCAGTTCAGCAACACTGGAAACATTTCAAATGTTATGTCTGTCTATACCCCTGGTTGATTATTTGGGTCGTCCACCCAATAACAGGGAAGATAGTATTAGAAAAATGAGACAGTAAAACTACAAATATTGGTATGGAGACATGAGAAGAAAAGTTTCATAGTTTCTAGGGTCGGAAGGGACCTGAGCAGATCATCTAGTCCAACCCCCTGCCATAGCAGGAAGAGCACTGGGGTCAAATGACCCAATAAGGTGGTCATCCAACCTCCTCTTAAAAACCCCCAGGGTGGGAGCCTGCACCACCTCACATGGAAGCTGGTTCCAGACCCTAGCCGCCCTGACCGTGAAGTAGCGCCTCCTGATGTCCAACTTAAACCCTCCCTCCACCAGCTTGTGACCATTGTTCCTGGTCACTCCTTGCAGCGCTAGGGGGAACAGGGACTCCCCCAGTGCCTGCTGATCCCCCCCTAACCAGTTTATAACAGGCCACAAGATCCCCCCTCAGCCTTCTCTTTTGAAGGCTGAACAGGTTCAGGTCCTGCAACCTTTCCTCATAGGACCTACCCTGCTGTCCCTTGATCATACGAGTGGCCCTCCTCTGGACCCTCTCCATGCTGTCCACATCCCTCTTGAAGTGCGGCACCCAGAACTGGACGCAGTACTCCAGCTGCGGCCTGACCAGTGCCGCATAGAGGGGGAGGATCACCTCCTTGGACCTGCTCGAGATGCATCTGTGGATGCACGACAAGGTGCAGTTGGCCTTCCTAGCCGCCTCCCCACATTGCCGACTCATGTTCATCTTGGAGTCAATAATGACTCCCAGATCCTTTTCCACCTCCGTGCTGACAAGAGGGGAGTTCCCCAGCCTGTATGTATGGTGCCGATTGTTCCTCCCCAGGTGCATCACCTTACACTTGTCTGTGTTAAACCCCATCCTGTTCTCCTCCGCCCATCCTTGTAACCTGTCTAGGTCCAACTGTAGCCTGTTGCTCCCCTCTATTGTGCCCACATCCCCCCACATCTTAGTGTCATCAGCAAACTTGAACAGGGTGCTTTGCACCCCCTCATCCAAATCACTGATGAAGATATTGAACAGGGCGGGCCCAAGGACCGAGCCCTGTGGGACCCCACTTCCCATGTCCTTCCAGGTCGAGAAGGACCCATCCACTACCACTCTCTGGGTGCGACTCTCTAACCAGTTGGCGACCCATTGGACCGTATGGGTGTCTACGCCACAGTCCCCCAGCTTCCTAATGAGAATGGGGTGAGAGACAGTATCAAAAGCAACCTTTCCTCATAGGACCTACCCTGTATCAAAAGTTAATGGCCATATGGCATGATATCATTTTAACTCATATTTTTTAAATTTGCCAGATTTGAAATTCAGAGTCCACCTCTTAAAAAAACAGAACAAATTAAAATAACTTAATTCTGGAGAAACAGATTCACTATAATGTATTATACTAAAATATAATATATCAGAATTCTCTTCAAATGATAGTACATGCTTAGCTAATCTTTCCCTACATTTCCAGTAACTAGCTCCCCATGTGGAAAATCATAGAATCATAGAAGTAGGGTTGGAAGGGTCTTTAAAATGACCTGTCATTTTAGATACCTGTGACAGGGTATCATCTCCAGGGGTGGCCGTGAAGCCCCTGGAGGCAAAAAAAAATCCTTTACTCTGGTCTTTGGGGCAGTCACCTTCTTCTTTCCTGCCACACCTTGGTGTTGTTAGTAAAATGCAGGAGGCTGCCCTGGTCTTATTATAATGATCAACAGGTTTGTGATCAAGGCCTTATGGGTCAATTGTGTGGCTCCTTTCCGACCCTACACCATGCCCCAATTTGCAGATGTCGTCCTCACTGATGTCTTTCCATCACCCATGCAGTTCTCCTCTGGACCCTAAGATCTCTCAGTCTCTTCACTCACCCCCTCCTTGAGCTGCCAGACCCCTCAGTCTCTCACTTGGCCCCTCTCTGGGTTGCCACACCCCTCAGTCTATCATCCAGTCCCCCTGGGACCTCAGACCCCTTGGTCTCTTATGCAACTCCTCCCTCGGCTGCCAGGCCATTCAGTCTCTCACCCAGGCCCTCCCTGGGTTGCCAGGCCCCTTTGGTCACTTCCTGGCCCCTTGCTGGGCCTCATGCTATTCCCTTTCTTTTCTGTCAGGGTGTGGTTCCTTTGCCTTCCTCTCCACAGGGTAACCCACAAGGCATTGAGAGTGGAGGCTTTCAGGAGCTCCATATTTGCCTTTCCATGTGGTGGCCCATGCATGGCAATTCATGCTGACCAGCCCCAGTAGGGTGCAGTTTCAGACCTTACTCAGGACAAATCTCTGGTCATCCTGATTTAACTCCTGGCCTCTCCAGGGCCCTCCCCTAATATCCTATACACCTTCTGGGCTGCAGACCTCCAGGCTTCCTGGCCCTAGTGCAATCTCATCTCTGGGCCCCTCTGGCTGGCTCTCTCTCAGACCCTTTCTCTCGAACCCTACTCCTCAGATGGCCCTACATCAGTTATCTTCATCCTGTGTCGCGTGCCCCTTGACCCCCTCTCTGTTGGCGATGGCCACGCACAGACCTTCAGCCTTCCCATTCCAAGGCCCAGTCAAGATCTCCAGGCTCCTCAGCTCTGGCAGCGTCTGCAGTAATCTGTTTCAACCTTCTGACCCTCCTTGGGCTCTGGCCCTGCACAGGCCAGTTAAGACTCTGAGGTTCAGTCTTTCAGCTGTCAGCCCTCCCTCCCCTATGTGTCCACCTTCTTGAGCCCCTCCATAGTTCTCTCACTCTCTGAGCAAACTTGGAACCATCTAGAGGTCACACAAACCCAGCTCCTCTCTCTGGGCTCATTCAAACCCTTCAATAGGCCTTCATACACTTGGCCCCTTTCACTGGGCTCCGGACCCAACATTGGGTCCCCAGGAACCTCCTCCATTCCCTTAGCTCCTTCCCAGACCTCCAGACTGTTTCAGATGTCTGCTCTCTGCTGGTGTTCCAGAGCGGGAGCCATCCTACTCTGTAGATATTCAAACAGTAGCCTCCAAGATCTTACTGCCAGCTCGGCTCAGGGCCTGGGCTTGTATCTGTCTTAAGCCCAGCCCTCTTTCTGGGCCAGATGACTCCCTCTGATCAACCGTAGCCACCACCTGTAGGCTCCCTGGGTCAGTTGTGCCCGCAATCAGCTCTGACCCCACCTGCAGACTGCTATGCCAGTGCTTCTTCCCTTAAAGTAGTAGGCACCTTATGCAGCCTTCTGCAATACAACTTTAATTAGCATTAATGCTGAATGAATGTAAATCACTAGGCAAATATATGCTTTGCAGTAGTATTAGACCATTCTGATTTTGATAGGACATAGCACAGATCATCTGTTTGTATCTGTTTTCTATCACTGCAGTCAAAGATTAGTACAGGGAAAAGCAGTTAACTATCATGAATAAAAGAGAATTCTGCTCTCACGTGCCTCCAGCTGGAAAGCTAAGGATCACAGGGAAGAAAGTTCATTATGGAGGGCACCAGTCGTCCCCAAACTTAGGGATAATTTCTGTTTTATCCTGAAAGTACCAATTCAATATCTTTAGTATGAAGAAATACATAGTATCCACTCCGAACACCAGTAAGAAATTACTGGTGAATTCATTAAGCTGGTTTAGATGTTAAAATTATTTAAAGATTGGTTGTTCAAATTTACCACCTATATCAGCCTTTTCTTTGTCCCAAACAACTTTAGTAATGGAACAGTGCAGACCAAGCGATACCTGATACCTGAAATTTTCCTTGATATATTCCAGAATCTCTAATGAACCAACATATTTGCATATTAGACTTCAAGTTTAAATAATTCCTCCTTAATTTACTCTCTGTGTTTTCCAAGACTCACGTGAGAGTCCCAGTTTGAATTTATGTAGCAAAGGAACTTCATTTAACTTTCCTTTAGTGTGTATCAATCTCAAGGGAAATTCCATCTCTCTTTGGCCATTTCCTCTGAGATGACTTAAGAACATTTTACAGAGTTAGCTACCCTTCCCAAAGTGATACTTACCTGTCCCTCCCACTAAAATGCATACTGTCAGATAAAAATTGAGTATAGTCTTCTGGTGTTTTTGACATGATTTCTCAAAGATCTTTTTGTTCAATATAATAGTGACAGCAAATTATAGCAGAGATAGAATCACAGTATTCTGCACAGTTTTGCCATTGGTGGTGACACTGTAAAAGAGCTGCTACATTTCACCTTAGAGTGGCTGAATTACACGGCTGAGTGAAGTGAGCTCTACGTTCAGTTTGTATTTCAGTTTAAGTAAGTAAACAGACTTAAAACAAACACTTCAGGGTGAAAAGTACTTGCTGACTATGAATTACTGGAAGTCTTCTGGAATTTCCAAACAACAAATAAAAGCGAGTTTATACAAGAAGAGCTTCAGGTCTCTCTCCTCACTACATGTTAATGAAGTGATGTAATATAGTTAAAATCTGCAAATCCTCTGTTCTGATAGCTTACTTCTCTGCTTTTTAAATTCAAGCTCAACAATGTGACTGTACATAGTGTTTCAATGTTCTTCTCAAGTCATCCCTAGAAGCATCAGTAAGCACAAGCACACCATAAACAAAGCAAACAAAACTAAGAAAAATATAACTTCCACTTTGTTACCTCTCAGCTCCCTGTTCTTGGGGAACCCTGACACAGGACGCAGACTGTCTGACTCACAAAGTATCCCCCCACCCCTCTACCTAAACAGAAACTGATTAAGATGCAGTGAGAGACACACCTAAAACCCTTCAGATAAGGGTGACAAAAGTGAAACAACTGCCCTAGGTCTCATTTGCATCTGAGATGGGACCAGATGACCATTCATTTACATGAGAGATGGAGAACAGAAAGCCTGAAGCAGAGACTGCAGTGA